ATATTTTGTAAGCTAAATGTTTTCACGGTACTTCTTTTTTATTTTCACTTAGTGCCTTGTCCTTTTCTTAAAGCATGGGAGTCGTCACCTGCGCATGCGTCAGAAGGCCATAGCGTGTCATTGTTTACAAACAAGCGTCTACCTCATGGCCTTTGCGTTTTTAGCGTTTTTACCGGGGATAGAGGGATGTGGTCAAAAGAGTCTATCCATGAGACCTTTGCGTTTGTAGCGTGTGTTGTTATCATCGCTTGGAACTCGATTCCCGCGCGTCCGCAGGTGACGACCCTCCCGCTTTAATTTTACCATCCCAGAGTTTGAAATGATCTGCTCCTTAAGGCTCTTGGGGGCCACTCGCTACATGGACATGAATATGCATAAAAAATAAAAGACACAAATATCTAAATATATTGTAGTATGGAATCAAGGTCGTTATAATTTTTTTCTAAAATTTTGCTTGTAACTCGCTCGACGGCAATAACTACAACGCATAACTGCACTTCACGAAGACGACACGGCAAAACTATTAATGATTAATTATAAAACTAGTACATTCGAGAACTTAAAAAGTCACTTAAGAAATCTTAACAAAAGTAATACTGATATTCAAAAGTAGGACAGACACTGCGCTGATTTTAACGAACCGACACAATTATTGTATGGACACGTGACAGTGATGTCACACATGCATAAGAATAATAATAACAGTGTGGTCATGCCATGGAAGGTCATATATTGTCAGATTGCATGAAATGAACCAAGGCTGTGTACGTACAATCACAGTCCCTCTATGATAGAGGGACTGTGGTACAATATACATTCCAGTGAGAAAAGGAGTACTCGCTCACAGAAAACAACACAATGGAATATTTGTGTTATTTGAAATATAATTTATCAACTTATTTCGTTTATCATCTATGCGTAAGTTAAAAAAAAAATATTGAATGATTTAACAACGCCCAAATTACATAAATCGATTATACGGAAGTCTAATCTTATAGCAGAAGTGGTGTTGTTGTTGTTGTTTTATTTTGCATATACCAGGGAGCTGTAATGAGAGTGACAAGCCAGCTTGTATTAATCCTTAAATGCCTTTTCAAGGTCATGCTCTTAGCTTTTGTCCGGGCGATAGAATATCTAACAGCCGTCGTAATAATGCAGTCGGGACTCAATGTTACACAAATGTTGTTGTAAAGGATGACGAGTGCATGTCCGTTTTATTTTTCGTTTATGCAATATTAGCTTCACGTAAATTCCGGATACATTCCGATGACTACGTATGCGTAGTTTATTATGGTTCAATCATAATTGTATAACCCCGACCAAATCTAGCAGCTGGTTAATATAACTATAATAGTGTATCGACCGGAATTCGGTGTCATGCGTGAAATTCATCACGAAACGAAAGATTGAGGAGAAGCACGCGTCATGATTGAATAGGAATAAGATTGCCACATGTCACTCTGACAATAAGCTACTGTCACTACCAGTAGAACGCT